CTCTGGGATGCTGAGAACCGAGCAAGAGAAGTAGTGATGGTTGTTCTTTTCTCAGGTAGGTATGGGTTCTCATTACTGATCCTTTACCCCTGCTGGTTTTCTGTTCTTCCTGTAGTGGAGAAGATTATGGCCAGAACTGCAGTAGGGGACAAACTGGTGTAAGGATCTTCAGCATCTCTGTGGAGAGAGGAGAGAGCTGATGGTAGGAACCTTTGTGTGCAGGTTCTAGACGTGAGTGAAAGAAGGGGGATGGGCAGAGGTGGCTGATGGAGCAGCAGTAGAGACCAATGAGATCTCTGGGTCTCTTCAAGCAGCTTTTAACCTGAGTAATGGACATTGATCTATGTCACTTCAGGCCAGCAAAAACCCTTAGTCAAGCTCAGCTGAGTTGGTGCTGATGGTGTTACTGTGCTTGGTATCTGTGGATATAGTGAGCTTGTGGACAGAAGCACTTACCTGTTCAGGTAGATTTCAGTGGAAATCTTCACGTCTCAGGAAGACTCTGAATGAGTCTTGGCTGCCTTAAGCTGAAGTTTATTATTGCAAACTCCAGAATCTTAGCTGAATCTTAATACTTCGTCCTGAAGTGGAGACAGGATGCGGACCCAGGACAAGCATAAATGCTGGGCTTCAGGCTTCTGCTTCAATTATAGTGTGTTCTCAGAAGAGATAATTAGTTCTGTTTGGCTGCATCTGTATTTGCTTTCTCAGCGTGGCAGCCATGAAAAGTGAGAAAAGTAGGAGGGGATGCAGAAATAGTGATTAAGAAATGCGGTGCTCTTGGTAGTCTTCAAGTGGCATGCAGCACAGCCTCAGCCATAGCCACTGTGGCACGGCACGTCCTGTAACTGTGAGTTTGAGTAGGGGCAATGCTGAAGTGTCCCTCTTACAAAGCAGGTAGGGCCTGGCAGAGTGTTCAACAGAACAAAGTGGCTTGGGGCCTGCATAGCAGTTATCTGTACTTGGATGGGTGGCAGCTTGTTTGTCTCTCCTCGGAGTCCTGAAGCAGGCTTGAGATATACTCTAGTGGCCATCTCCCTTCAGCTCTGCTTCGTTGGGGACCTGACTGTCATGACAACTTGATCTGCATCCTGAAATCTGTACTTTTCCTCAAGGGTCTTCAGGTGACTAGAATGATGTTTGGATTTAGTATTTGGTCAAATTCTCTGCAGTGCACATGGGTCACCCTGCCAGATTGATCACACCAGTTATTTTCTTTGCCCTTTTTATGTGTTTGAGTGGGAGCAGTGCAGAGCTACATCCCTTTGATGTCTGTAATAAAGCATTTACGCAGAGGGAGAGTGGCTCATCTTTTTTAGTGTTGCCAAAAAGATACCGCTGAGCACAGATTGCATCACAGTTCATGCAGGTCAGAAGCACTGGGGACCTTGTTATTGAGCATATGGTTTCTGGCCTGGCTGGCTCTGCTGGCGTGGGACTGTTCAGAAAACAGTGATGTGCTGTTCCTCAAACTTTCATCCAGCTAGGCAAGGCGGGATCCAGCACAAAACAAGTGCTGATGCAGGAGTTGACAGCAAAGAGAAATGTGAAGGAGGCAGTTACCTGTGTGACAAACCTGGGTGTAGAGGAGGGCAGTAGTCAGAGCTATGTAGTGACAGTGGCATTTGAAGGGACCAGGAGGTATTGACAGGCAAATCTTACAGACTAGCTGTTCAGATATGTGCTATGTGAACCAGCACCATTTCAGAGTTTACTGCATCAGAAGTGTTTCAGCAAATTTAAATTGACGGCGTGAGTTAATAGTGGCTCGGCACTGTTCAAGTTTGTTACTGGTCTCACGGTAGCTGTTCTAAAGCTGTCTTTACTATTCTGTGGAGTCATGGCCTAAGGCGCGGCAATACCAAAGAGTTGTCTTCCTCAGTAGTATGCCTCAATTAAGTAGAGATTTCGGCAGAAGAGGCAATTTCTTCAGTGACTGCCAGCTACGGTGTGCTGAAGTTACAAAATTAAAAATGGTGAGTGATGGCAGTGTGAGAGAAAGCACCTCCAATTCTTTAATGTTATTTCTTATGCCAGAGGCTTGAATGTCTGGAGATGAAAAGGAGGAAGTGCCTGTAACTTCTCCAGTTCCAGAATAACCTCCTGATCGAAAAATCTTAGCAGCAACTTGGACGATTTGTGGAAGGGAGCCAGGGACCTTTTCTCACTGTTGCATTTGGAAAGAAAATGGAAATTTCCATTGTAAAGTAAGATAAGACTGAATAAAAGGAGAAGATGGGAGGTAGGGTGAAGTGTAGTTGAGAGTAGTGAATAACAGAAAACTGAAGAAAGGGCAACAGTTAGGTGATGTATAAAGAGGAGGGAAATTATTAAGCGGGTAGAAGAGATTGTCTGGTAAACTTTGTTGTAATCTATGATAAATTCGGTTTGGAAAAGCCTTTTTTGGTTTTCTAGAGAAAAGGAAATGGACAATTCAGGATTACCACCAATTTTGGAAGTGACAAATTCCCTTTCAGTTCTGAAAATGGGATTAGTAGAGTATGGCCTTATTGTCCTAACTATGTTCTGCTGTGATTTGGTTAAAAAAAAAAAAAAATCAGCTGGTATGATTAATTCTGAATTTTTTGCTTTCAGAATGAAATCTTGCTTTCCTCCCATTGCCCCAAATCCCCCAACCAAAAAATAAACCCTAATTCATAAAGACTTTTAGGTCTTTTGGAGTTTTAAGACATGGCTTGCTTTGGGCTTTTTCAATTGAGAAGTTGTTTGTTATTGCACAGGTACAGATCACTGAGCACTACTATTACCCTTCTCTTTTGTTTTGAACTTTTACAGGAATACAAAGTTTGTTGTAAGATGTTGGGAAGTGTTTTGTGGTTAACACTGAATGCAGTGTGGACTACATTTTGGGGTTTCTTTTGTATGGCTGCTAATAGTGCTGGGAAACTACAACTTGTACCCCAAACGTCCTTCCACTTCAGTATTTGTAGAGCAGCGCAATTACTTCTCCTGTGTAGCTTAGCCTGCGGTCAGATGCTGTTCATTTGTCTCATAGATGCAAAGCAGGATCCCTCTTAAAGCTCTGCCATGCTTCCTGATTGGAAATCTACCTACACCCGTGACTTAATGTGAAGTGCGTATGCAAAGAGCTTGTCTATGAGCAGCTGAGCTAGGGAACCTTTTATTTCTTGGGGATTTGTGCTCTCTGCTCTTCAGGCAATCCCTCTTTCCTGTTTTTGTTTTGTTTTTTCGCTCTGTATCCATGTCGTCCTTCAGCAGCTCTGCTAATTTACTTTCATTCTGAACCTACCCCAAACCCAAAGCAGCTCACCGCTGTAGTGTTTTTAATTCCTTCTCTTTTTCCCTAATTACAAGCTGAGTCAGACACCTCTTGTTCTGCAGGTTTTAAGACTATTTGCATACTGACCATTCATGTGCTGATTACAGGCTAAACAAAGCCAGTAACTGTTAAGTGAAATATTCAGCCTTAGCCTCAGTGGGCGCATTTTCTCTACGCAGTTCCTGATTTTCATGAAACTTGTAGAAATTTAAAATGAGACTGGATTGCTTTGTCCAACTCGACTGGCGTTGACTGTAGGGCAACGTGTTTGTCTAAGCCTCATTTCCCTAAGAAACCAGGGTAAAAATGCTTCAGGAATAAATTAAAAAAAAATTATTTGGATGCGTATTTTTAGATTAGTTGGTAGTCTAATATATATTTAGACAGGAAAATGAATGTTAAAATGACACAAAACCTTCATGTGTTTTGAAACACAAGACCCCTGAAATTAGGTTGATAGCTTAGCATGATGATTTAATTAACATCTGTTTAATTTGAACCTATGAGAAAAAAGCCTGTGTATTTCACATAAATGTCTAAATATTCATTTTCACCATAGAGATACCACCCACATTTACCACAGAATATGGTTAGACTTGGTTTTCTGCTCATTGTAGTAGCTAATCTGAGTAAATTCTGTTGGAAATAGTGGAATCTAGCCAAATCATTAAAAATTACTTGCATTTCATTTTTGCATTTCATTTTTGCATTTGCATTTCTGGTTTTGGTGGGGTTTTTTGTTTAGCTTTGTTTGTTTTGATTTGTTTTTTTTAAGGTCTTGCAAAAACACAAGAGAGAATTTTGAGAAATTTCCATCTTTCTCTTTGGGGTGAGGCAAACAATGTTTTCAATACAGAGGGCTGTCAGCTGCACCCACCAGGGAAAAAAAGTCACTGCCATTTTTTTTAAATAATATTTTTGTTGTTATTAGGGCAGCAGGTGAAATAATGGAATGGAAAAAAATTCTTTTCATAATGGATAAAGTCTTTGTTTTGTGAGCAACAGCTTTTGTCCATGTAATTATTTCTTTTCATAATGGATAAAGTCTTTGTGAGCAACAGCTTTTGTCCATGTAATTAGTGGAAGGAAAACAGTGTTTAACAGACGAAAACATGGCCTAGGCTTTAGGCTACTGTTTTCTTCCTGGAATTTTTTTTGTCAAAAGGAGCTAATTTGTTTTGAAATTTTATGATGAAGATGCAGTTTTGAAATGGCTTTATCTCAGTGGCACTGCTTCAAAGTACTTTTCGTTTTCAGTTTACACGTGTAATGTAAACAAAAACACTTTAAATCTGGGAAGAAGAGACAACTGAGAAAGCAAGTCACATTTGTCAAATGTAACGTAACTTTAGTTCTTCATCACCTGGGTTCTTTTTTATCGTTTGCTTGCAGATTTTTTACATGGATAGGAAGGCCTATTGTTAAATATAAGCTTTGTTTTTCAAGTTCTACTCATGTAAAATGACTTGCAGAAGTTGGAGACTTTGGATTTCTTAAAGAAGTAGTTAGTACCTGTTCAAAAGTTACGCCTTCTAAAATGGAGGGAGGAAAAAAGCATGTGCGGTTATTTAGGAATGACAGAGAGTTGAAATTAACGTCGACAGCTAACTGGACAGATTTTTTTCCTCTTTATTTCAGGAACTGAAGCTTCCTCTTTAAAAGGTGCAGTACTGTGGAAATTGTTACTGACCACAGAAAAATGGACATGTTGCAGATACTACGTAAAACCACAGAGCGCTTAGAGTGTGATCACTGCAGCTTCAGAGGAACGGACTATGAAAACATACAAATTCATATGGGTACCATACACCCAGAGTATTGTGATGAAATGGATGCTGCTGGTTTGGGTAAACTTATATTTTATCAAAAAAGTGCAAAACTGTTTCACTGCCACAAATGTTTCTTTACCAGCAAGATGTATTGCAATGTATATTATCACATCACAGCACAACATGCAGCACCTGAGAAGTGGAACGAGGAGAGGAAAGAACAGGTAGAAGGAGATTCAGATTCCTCCAAAAAAAGCGTCACATTGGAGCCACAGAGACCTACCCTTTCCCCTGAGTCGCGCAAACCTGCCCTTTCTCCTGAGTGCCCCAAATCTGAACCTGTTGTTTCCCCCAAGCTTCAGAAATCTTCAGTGTCCCCAGAGCCGCAGAAGTCAGCTCAGGCGACTTCCTCAGAGCCAGAGAAGTCAGCCCAGGCCACATCCCCAGATCCAGAAAAGTCAGCCAAGGCCACATCTCCAGATCCAGAGAAGTTGGCCTCAGCTCTGTCCCCAGACTCGGAGAAGCTGTCTCCTGCTGTGTCCCCTGACCCACAGAAGCTTTCTCCTGCTGTGTCCCCTGACCCACAGAAGCCATCTCCTGCTGTGTCCCCCGATGCACAGAAGCCAGCCCCGGCTGTGTCTCCAGAGC